GAGATTTAGGACAGGAAAGAGTGGTACTGATGTTCATTGTTGCTTTTTCTGACTCTTTTATTCATGGTAGTCCTACTAAACTTTCAGATGCTTTAATCTTTACAGTGAGTAATAATATTGTCTTGCTGAATAGTAGGTATTGAGATTGAATATACAATCCCAATGAACACTTTGCTTAGGAATTGCTGTGCCCCTTTTCTTCTCTGTTTCCTAGGACTATAAGGTATGGTATGGTATTTTTTAATGTACTAAGTAGCATTTACTTGTCAGTAAGTTTTCTCTGAGTCAGGCTTAGGTTTCAAAAGATCCTTCAGAGGAGGTGGTAACTAGTGTACCACATAATCCTTCTCCACTTTTCCACATCATGTGTCCCTAGCACTTGTAAAAGTTCTAGAACCTCTCCATGTAGTGGCTGAGTGATTCAGCTCAGTGATCTGGCAGAAAATTAGCTAGGGAAAAACTTGGTTAAATTTCTACTGTCTTATTGATGTTTTAAGTGGTCCCACAGAAAGATGTGCTGAGGAGATGAGGCAGCCTTTGGAGGCTGGGGGTGCAGGCAGCATGAGAAGATGGACAGAGCTGAGAGGAGCAGGGAAGAAGAACAAGGGCTAGGACATTTTTTTCATTTTGCAGCACAAAGTTGTTAAATGGACTCAGCTACTTTTGAAACCATAATGTGTATTTAACTGAAAGCAATTTTATGTATACATGGGTGCCATTATTCACATAAGTCACTTGTTTGTTTTTTTTCCCTTTAGCCTTGGCCTCAAGCTATTACAAAGACAGAATGATAGCTGTATTTTATGTCTTTACTATTTTAGCAATTATTTTAGAGCATTCAAAACAATTACTGTAATGCAGAAGGGATGGTTATGGTGCAGTGTGGTGGTATGTGAATTATCATTAAATGAAACACCAGTTCTTGAAAAGTCTATACAGCTTCTATTATTGTGACATGCAACAAAAAGAGGACAGTTAAGCTAAGTTTTAAAAATAAATAATGATAATCTGTCTTCTTGAGTATGGATTAGACAGTTGACTGCAGATCAAGTACTGTTAAATATTGTCATTTCAGGCCAAGTGTTCATGTTTGACTTGCCACTTCACTTTCCATTGTAGTTGACAGTGTGAAAATCCCTGATATTTCATTTTCCCACAAAGGAAATTCTGTGCATCATTAGGGTGAGCTCAATCCATCTCTCACTCAAGTCAGTAGTGACTTCCTACTGACGTCTGTAGGACTGGGCTTTAGCTCTGTGATGGAACTTTCCTGTGTTTTGCCAAAATCCATGACTCTATTTTCCTAGTTTTCCATATGTAAACCCTAGATAGATGCAGTGATATTTATGCAGCAGTTTTACCAGATGGCTCTTGAATCATCTGTTCTCAATGAAAAATTAAAAGACCGGGCACATATATAAAGGCTGAATTAATCTTTGTAATTAAATGGAACATTACTTTGCCATGAATGATTTTAGCTTTCACTGTGTATTTCATGCTAATTTTTCAGTGAGCTGTAATTGTATTAATTTTTTACATATTTAGAAGCTTAAAAATGATATTCACAAAGTTATTGAGTCAAGTTAATATACAGAATCTCTGTCAGACTCATAAAACTTTGTCATGAGATATATGTTTTGTTTTGTTTTCTCTTTAAAGTAAGTAAAATATGTCAGTACTTAGTGTTGTATAAAATATCCAAGTCATACTCTGAGAGGCAAAAAGGCTCTCAGAATGCTCACACGCTTGGTTGTCAAGTGAGAATTTGAATAGGCTGGAAACTGGGCTGCTTTGGAGCACTGAAACACTTGTGCATTCCCACATTGGCAGGTTGTTAAGCAGAGAGTGAAAGCTCATTTATTATTTTGTCTGTGTAGTAAACTGACTTGAAATGCTCTCACTGTGACAGAGACACTGGTGGCAAAATCCTGGCTGTGTCGAAGTCAGTGGGGAAACTTCCATGCACAAGGAGTGGTGGAGGTAGTCCCACTCTGGCTCCTGTGCCTCAGAGCCTCCTCTCTCTGGCTGCTGGGATAGAAAAGAGTCATGACTTACCCTGAAGCACCCTGTGAGTGCCTCTTGCTTGTGCTAGTGGGAGAGGAGCCCTGCAGCGATGAGTTTCCTTAATTTACCCAACAGCCCAACGAAGGCTGAGTGCTTAATGATGCCTGGGGGAAGTACTCCATCGCCTCTTTTCTCCCTGTACACATGGCTGTTTAATATGCAAATTAGAGAAAGGAGTTAAATGAGCCTTTAAACCATAAAAAGTTGTGCATGGTGGATTTATGGTGGATTCATGTGCAACTGCCACATGGCTGGTTCCTGTACATTTGTCACATTTCATTTGACTCCCTGTGCTTGCCTCCTGGAAGGCTGGCCTCTTATATATACTTTTAATCCTATCAAAGGGAAATTAATGACATCATTATCAAAGAGTAAGCAAGCTGTAGAAGAGTTTTCCACTTCCTTGTGCTGTATAAATAAGGAGTCTCCCAACTGCTGTTAAATATTACACAAGTGAACAGAAATATAGGCACAGAAACAAGACTTCCAACATGCAAATTTAGAAACCTGCTCTCAACATGATACTTTCTATCTTGTCAGTTGTGTAAATAAATTGGGCCCAGTGCTGGGCTAAGATGAAAAGGTTTGCACCTGATGCAAAGCTTCTAGGAGGAATCCCAGTCAGAGGGATTCCCAAGGGCTTCAGAAGGCTTTCTGTGTTCTCTCATGAGTTTTACTTTGGCTATGGGTAGCAGTTTCACTAACCAGGAGCCAAGCATACTTCACTGTCAGCATGAGCTTTGTCTGTCTTATTCGCTTAGATCTCTAAACCACACATATTGTGGTAATGTCACAAATGCAATAATATAATATTTCTCCCTTATCTATCTATCTATCTATCTATCTATCTATCTATCTATCTATCTATCTATCCGCCTCACAAAATACAGACGGCTTTAGATATTGACAAAGCCTCGAAGTACTAAAAGCAGCATTACATTGCGAGTTTGCTTTCAAAAATCTCAAAACATGCTCTGTTATTTACAGGGTTTTATATAGCCTTTATAAGAAAAATCTCCATAATGTCTGACTATTTTATTCTCATGCTTAGAAATCTCAATCTCATGACATTAAATGTGAAAGTCACAAAGCAAGTGATGAACTCTTGCAGAACATTTGATTACACACAAACTTTCAGATAAATGGTGCTCCCTTCCTGGCTTTTTATTCTCCCTCCCCACCTCAGCATTTAAAATACCATGAAAGACTGCTGAACCTTCTGGCAAAGTGGGGGAACATTCTGTTGAGAGTTAATTTGTCTCATTTAATATTTTCCATTCAGCATTTTGCTTCCATTGCTTTTTTATTACTAGGGCAATTTGCATGACAATGGGATCTTACTTGCTTAAGAAATCGTCTGCTCCTGCTGCTAATTTTCTACCTGAAGTTGTTATCTTCTGTTTGTGACATCTTAGTTATCTCAACCACAATTAATTGTGATGTTACAAATGGAGGATTATGACTTTGGGTTGGAAGTGAGATTGAGAAATTGAAGGAGTTTGAAGAAAAGAGGCTTTTCTTCTTGAAAAATAAAAGAGGAGACAGAATGACTTTGGTTAAATGGAGACAATCCTCCATCACTTCTCCTCTTAAATCTGTGGAACAGCTGGTTTTAGGTCTTGCTGTATAGGAGGCCCAGCTGTATTGAGATACTGTGAAGTGGGAGAAGGAGAAAGGGTATGTGGAGGAAGGGGAATCTTCCCTTGAGCAGTCAGTCTCTACAGCAAGAAGGAAATAAAAGTTGTTGGACCCTAGAGAGGTCCAGGCTCTGCTCACAGAGAGCAGAATGCAGGATTGGTATGATTGTACTTGCTTTGAAGGCAAATTATTTATTGCTTTTTATATCTTGCAAAATTTATTTGAGTTTTGACATTGGGGTTTGGTGAACATGGAGGAACATTTTTTGAGGGGTTGAGGGAATTCTGAAGACTTATGGAGAAATTACATTCAGCATCCTGAAAACATAAAAAAATGAAAGTTTTGTGATATCCATAGCTGTAATTTGTCCTATGGACTTGTCATATTTCATGTCTTGCTATGTCATCTTATCTTTTTGTATACTTCTGCTTTTCTTTTGGAAACCTGTTTCCACAGAGATTCTGGGTGTCTGAGTGGCCTTCTGGTGTTTTTGTGAGGGCATTACCAAGGCTGTTTATACACTCACACCATGATTTGCAAAGTGGAAATACTCATCTACAGCTGCTTCACACTGGACCATTTATGCAGATTGTGCATAAACACTGTGACCAAGGCATGAGTGAAAGAGAATTAATGAAAAGTGCAGTGTCTTATTTTAACACCTCTACTGACATTAGGGAAAGGGCAAAGACTGCAAAGTAACAGAGGGAAACTGGAGAACTAACTACAGATCAGTCCAGTGGTTTTCAGAAAGTACAGTGTCCTTCAGAAAAGGATCCATCCTCAGGTGCAGATAGAAGTGGCTCTCAGTGGAAACACCAGTGTGCACTTGCTGGGACTAAGGTTGATTCACATCTGTGCATCAAATCTATTCCAGCAGTTGGATGTGTACCAGCTACTGTGCCATAGCGAAGCAGGCCATTTCCTGTTGTCCTTTGGAAAACATTGTACAAACAGGCATTTGACCATCTGATTAGCACAAAACCCTGTAGAGAAAATCAGCTGTTAAGACTTTGCACTCAGACACGTGGCTGTAAGTACGCAAAAGCTCTGCAGGCAGCGATAGACCCACTGTGATAATCTGACAATGGAATCTGGACCCTCTGTGTTGTGATGCCAAGCTCATTTGTGGCACCAAGCTTACCTTGTAGGCAAGTTGTTTTGAAGTTAAATTAGGATGGCTCCAGGGAAGCATAATAATACAAAGTAGAAGCTGAGCAAGAAAGAGAAAAAACTGTAGGCTGGGACGTGGTTTTATCTGTCAAAACTTTTTTTTTTTCTCTTTTTCTTTTTCAAAGGCAAAAGCAGTTATGGCGAAAGTTGGTTACCCTCAGTTTATAATGAATGACACATATATTAATGAAGACATCAAAACAGTAAGTGTCAGGCTTGCAGCTGTATTCATTTATTGCAGCCATTCTTTGCTGTGTTTTGCTGCTGTCTAAAGTCAAAGCTAGTCTAAAGTCAAAGCTAGTCTTTTGTTTGGCATGCACCTGGACTCATGATTATTTTTATTTTATTTTTGAAGCGTGCTAGCTCTAAATTGTGTCTAAATAGTCAGTGCTGTTGTATCTAAGTGAGATCATGAGGCCTGCTGGGAGTAAAATCTGCCTGGGTGCAAAGAACCTTCCTGCTATTAAGCATTTTAAAGGTTAAGCACACACTGTAATAATTTTGCACTTGGTTATAAAAATGGAACAAACCAAAAGCATTTATTCTCAAATAATGATTTTCAAAGGGATTAATGTATTTTACCTCATAATATCACAATTTAGGATGCCCTATACGGGTTCTCCCAGTCTCTCCAGGCTATGAATTTAATTTACAATTGATGCTTGTAATCATGCCAAGAGGTCCTAACCAGTGTATAGGCCTATTGTGCTGCCTGCTTGACAAGGGTACTGTCAGAAGTTCAATCCTGAACCAGTAAAATAAAAGAGTGATCATCATCTTTGTGAGAGCACATGAGCAAACACTAAATAGAGGCATCATTTATTGAAACAACCAACTCCACCAGCCTAGTCCTTGTGCATGGAAACTGGAGGGTGAGATGGTGCAGTGGAAACAGAATAATGAGACAGAACATGTGACCAACTCTATCACTCAGCTATGATTTGCTCAGATATGTAGCAATGTCTGGCAAAAAATACTTCTTTACTCATGCTTGAAAAACCATACTTTACATCTGAAGAGCAACTTCCTCACAAATTCTAGAATTGTTTTAAACTGATGACAGGGATTTATAACCTATTAACATCCCTTTTCCTTTCCTGTTTATTTTTGTGTGTGTGAATGCTATTAGATTTGGAAACTTATGGAAGAATGGAGCCCTATGCCTGTAAATATTTAATGTGGCAGAACTCTTAGAAGGCACAGAATATGAAGTATTTGTTATAAAATGTAAAGCAAACTGAAAAAGAGGACTTCATTACATTGTTGGAAGTGGTTTTAAAATGCACTTTCAAAAAGACAAGTAAGCCTACTTCCTCCTGGAAAGAGGCTCTCTTAATAATAGCCATAGAAATGTGCAGTCTGCAATCCATTGTTCAGTGCTTATGATTCCTTCAGCAGCACTCTGCACAGTGAAGAGCTTTCCCACTGTTCCAGACCCTTGTGCAGATCTGTTCAGACACTATTTTTTTAGCTAAGCTCATAAAATATTTATTCTTCCTACCAAGTGTGAAAATTTTACTTGCTTTGATAATCGCTAAAAAATTAGGTGATTATCTCATATAAAATAAAAGTTCTGCTTGTTTTATGTCAGCTTTTGTTTCTTTGGACATGCTTTAAAAATGTCTGTGCTTTCTTGATACAGCTGAAGTTTACAGAAAGTGATTATTTTGGCAATGTATTGCAAACTCGCAAATACGCAGCACAATCTGATTTCTACTGGCTTAGAAAAGAAGTTCCAAAAACAGAGTGAGTAGACAAAAGGCAAATTTACATAATCTTCTAACAATATTTTAACTTATTTAATTTGTATATTAAATACTGTTATATATTAAGTTTTAATAGAATTCTGTTAACAGCAATATGTTACGCCACAAAAAGCCTATGGGCAAACTCCCATTATTCAGAAACTCCTGTGGATTTTTTTTTTTCTTTGGTAAGTTCTAGGTATCCCTGTTCATATGCAGAGTAGTCACATGCTTGAAGCTTAAACTTAATTTAATGAATAAAGGAGTAATTTAATCACAATTAAAGATGGATTATGTCTCTTGGTCACAGTTCGAGTTTGAAACGGTACAGCAGGGATTTATGAAATAAATTTTGTAGGAATGAAATCATAGTAAGAGATAATTTTATTATTAGTAACACAAATCAGCATTGTTAGCTGCCTGCTGTTGATAGCAATGATACAGAATGAAACATAATTTAATCTATGTATGTTATTTTTATTTATTTGTAAACATGAGAGTGCAGATTGTGTCACAAACTGTCATAAAATACATGAGAGAATCATTCTCTTTTCTTACTGGTGGGTAATCAAATCCTTAAAATGCAAATTAAAACCTAAGCAGAACTTAATTAGTCTAATCATACTACTTAAAAATTACTCTTTCTACACACAGGCTTTGAAATCAGTGCCAGTGCTTAGCTCCTGTGGTGGTATCTCCTTAGGACTCCAGAAATCCTACTCAAACTGAACCATACCTTGTTCTGGGGGTGGGTCTGTGCTGTCTGTGAGGCAGGGGGACAAAGGAAGTTTGTTCATGGCTAGGGTGTTTTAATTTGGCCCTATGTGTTCAAGGCATTATGTTTAGTTTGGATTTAATTGTGCATTTTACCTTCTCATCACATCTTTCTCTGACATTGCACTGGTCAACCACAGGAGATGATTTTAGGAATTTTCCTGGATGTCAGGACTAGACCATGATGGTGTATTTTCTTCAGAACAACAGTTGCAAGAGAGCAGTGAAACAACTGGCCTCTCTATAACAATGGTCAGCCTTGGGGCAGCACTGATACAGAACCTGCAGATTCTTGGCACGATGGGAAAGCTCCCCTGTAAGGAAATCAATTGGTAGACAGCCCCTGACTCAAGGACTGTAGTCTGAGAGCTGTCACATGAGTATGCTTAAAAAATGAAAGTGTTATCCAATTGCCCACTGCAAGATTGAACACCTTCTCATGCCTGTCTTTACCACCTTATTTCCCGGACTACATAATAGCCAGCCCCCATCACCTTCGCAGCTCTTTTCTTGTCAACCCTCAGAGTGCAGTCAGGCCTGGGGGTGCCAGTTTGATTTCTGGCCCTTTCCCTTTGTTAGCACAGCTATTTGCTCTGCCTTCTGCAGGGCTGGAGGTAATCTCCACCTGAGCCCCGACAGGGAGGGAGAATTATTCCTGCTGGAACGTTATTCTGTCTCTGCAACTGTTCAGTGATACAAAAGGGCTCTGAAAGTGGTGTCGCTCTGCCTGCTGAGGGACACCAAGGCACAAAGAATCATTGCTATCTCCTGTAATTTTTTTTTAAAATTTATTAAAACAAACCAATAACTCCCATTTACCAGTCTGAGGCATGTCAAACCCAGCCTCAAAAATATCAGCCACTTTTTAGGCACTTTCCACTTTTAAATCATTATACTCCACTGCTTTCTGATGTTTTTACCTCTCTTTTTCTTCCTCTCATTTTTCTGTTTTTGTTTATTAAACTTTTACATTTCATAGAACTCCACAGAATTTTTGATGAAGCTTGGTGCTATGTTAATAGCTAATTACCCTTGGGGTTTTGTTTCTATTTGCTTAATTTCTTCTTTTCCCAAGTTTAGTAGCTTTTAGCATAACATTTATATTTTGAGATAGACATTATAAGATCATCAAAGTTGTGGACTGAAAAAGATAAATAAGAGAATGAGTGTTTAAGGAAATAAAATGTAAAGTAATATTATACCCAAAAGGTAAAACACTATTCTTTTAGCAGACCATATATCTCAATAATATTATTTCAATCTGGAATCACTTTCCTCAGCTAAATGTGAAATTAAAATGATTGTTCAGTCAAAGCACCAGGGAAAGACCATCAAGGGATGGACAGAGGAGATGGGAGATACAAGACAAAGCAGTTGGATAAAATAAGGGGAAGTGTGGATAACAAAGTGGGAAAGAATTGGTTTGGAAATTCAACGGTTTTTAATCTAAAAAAAAGGAAAAAAACCTAAAGCAGGAGTAATTATCAAAAATCTTTATTCTCTCTTCTGTCCCCTCCATCGCTGGCATTTATCTGCCTGACAGGAGGAGGAGCTCAGATGAGGCATTGCTCAGGGCACGGGTAGTGGGACAGGCGCTAGGAAGCTGTGACAGGGCAAGGGGTGCTGGAGTTGCCTGTTCTGCCCGTCCTGGGCCAGGCTCCCCTGAGGGCACCACAGCTCTGGGAGGTATTACTTGTGCTCAACACCTGATTTGGATGCCAGCTGCCATCCTCACAGCTGGCTGGGGAGATGACTGTCACCTTCACAGCTGGCTCTATCACACAAGAAAAAAAAGTGCTTAGGTATCAGCAGAGAGAAAAATGAAAAGGATTTGTGCAGGAGCTGTGGAAGATAGTGCACAAACCAGATCAGGTTAGGTAGAGAAGCTCAGTGGAGAGTCTGGAAGGGGCAGTGTGGGAGGATGAGCACCAGATGTGAACACAATCATAGCCCAAGTGAGATACAGCTGGAGCAGAGGAAAGTGAAAGGCAATACAGGGAGAGGGGATGGTGATGTGGAAAGGAAAAATTAAGAAGAGTCAGGGTTTTAATTGCATTTTCCTATCCATCTATGGAGTCATATGCATTCAAACATACAAATATACATGTGTGTATACAAACATACATACAAACATACAAACATATGCACCTTTTTATCAGTGATGGCATCTGTCCTTCTTAACACTGATATCATACTTGCAAATAACAAAGCATCAGAGGACTTCTTGGGCACACCATTATCAGTCATCTTTCTCCTTTGAAGTCAGCATATAATCTAAGATTTTTAGTTCTGACCAAATCTTTCTCCATTTTTCACTAGACTTTCAGTGCTGGGGATGTAGACATCTGGTATCCTGATAAGAGGATACAAAGGAAGTAGGCTATGAGAGGATTCTGGGGTCTCCTCCAGGGACCTACCCTGTTTTTCTTGACCACTCACTACTGTGTGTAAGCCCTGGCTTTTGGTTTGCACAAGGGAGGGCAGCTCTGAGAGATTCTGGGTTGAATACCACTAAGAACAGTGAAAAAGCTCCTTCTGCAAATAAGGAAAAGCAGCCATCAAAAACACTGGGCAGGCTGTTGTGTGTTGGAGAGATGCTGCTGGAAATCACATGGCAGGGACCTGCCCTGGAGAGGAGGGGCTGGAAAGGAGCCTCCTGGAGCCTTTTCCTGGTCTTTGAACCTCATTTTTAGCAGTGATGTGGCACTGAAGGCTGGGCCCAGCCTTACCATCCTAGCTGCTTGCCCATTCCTAAGGAAGACAGATGGCAGCCTGGCCTAGGATAATAGTCTGCTTCTACATGGGTAAATATATAAAAGAGATTAACAATAAGAAGAGGAAATTTGATTTTGAAAGTCACCTTGAAGGTTGACTCCTGTTTAGAAGTTTTTCTTTATAGCATATTCTTTGGTAGATATTTTGCAGCTTCCAGGAACTTTATGCAGCTTTTCACTTCTAACCAGCTTAATTCTTTGTACATTGACAAGTTCATTTTCTTTGTTTATAAGATTATTTATTTTTTATTTCTTAGAATGTTGAACAGCAAATCAAATAATTTCTTCCAACTCAAAAAACTAAGGACCAATTTGCAAATTCAGTTTGTGCTTTACAGAGAATAAAATAAACTAATTAGCTTTTTCCTGTGTTGTAAATGTTCCCAGCCAACGCTGTTCATGAATGGCATATAGCACACTATACTCTTAACATAGGAAGAAAATATCACAGAGAAAATTGCAGCCTCAAGAACAGACTAAGAGAGTTTCTGCCCCACTATCTCAGTATGTGTTTCACATTTTATTTCTACAAGGGAAATCTCAGCCTTACAGGTGTCAACTCTACAGAATTAGGTTTTGACTGCTGCAGTAGTAGATAGGTAATGCTATCTCCTAAGGGCATCATTCAAAGCTGTCCCTTTCTCACAAACTTATAGCAAATGAAAACAGTGTAAACAGTTCTAAAATTTTTATTTATTTACTTTGTAATTGATAGGAGCTTGGAATGTGTAATGCCTTTATTTTTTTCTATCCTTCTGTTAGTAGATAAAGCATACAGACACTGTAACCAGACCTAGAGCAAATGCTTAGGGAATCTGACTTCAAATAGGAATGGAAGTCAATGAAAGTAAATTTGCTTCACCTTAAAATTTAACAGCAACAGCTATTTATTACACACTTCATGTTGTAATTTAGTGTGTTATTAGTTAAGGACTGTCCCTGAAGGTTCAGTCATTTCAAGGAGCTCACTGATAGAGCATGTCAGATGAGCAGTAAAGTTGTTCTGCTAGTTTGGATGGAAGCAGTCCTGGTTATTTCTACTCTTTTGTGGAAAATACTTCCTTAATCTTTTTGAGAGGGCTCAAAATGGTACAACAAAATGCTGGAATGGAAATATGCTTGCCAAATGTCAAATATGAAATACTCTGCTTGTTACTAGATAACTCTCATTCCTCCTGACTCCTCAGTATGGCTGCTAAGTGTCCTCTTCCTAACTGATTAAAAGCATACTGAATTTCATACAGGGTCATTCTTGAGGCCTTAGTTTTAAAGTGAGAAAATCAAGGCTGCTCTGTCTTTGGCTCATGCTAAGCTCAGCAAACAGGATGGGTTCTGCTACTGTGGTGGTAGATGATGAGAAAAGCAGCAGTCTCAGGACTGTAGGGATGCTGTGATAGGTCTTAGCCTGCAAGCTACAAGTCTGTGATTTGATAGGTATGAAAGTATAGCCAGAGGATGGTGTGATATCCTCCCTCAGTAAATGTGGAGGACAAATTACACCAGCATTCACTGCTGCTCTTGGGCAGGCTGAGGTGTTCCTGTGGGAACAAGTACCTGCATCACCAGCTCCTCACCCAGCAGAGACAAGTGCAAACTCGTGCTGATAGAAAGCTGTCTCTAGTCAGTGGAGAGCTCTTTGCTGCTGCTTGTGGTGGTTCCTCTCTGCAGCTAGCTGTGGTAAACCCCCCCAGAGGATGGAGAGAAGAACCACAGTACATTAATCTGTTTTGAAGTATCTGTTGCACATCTCAGGCCCTTGATCCTCTGGAAAAGAAGGCTAAGAGGAATTTGCAAAAAGGGAGAATTTTCTGTCGCTGAAGCCCTTTTCATGCTTGAAAATTGCTGTTTGAGAACAGAAAGACCATTGTAAGCAAAACAAGCCAGGAGGGTGAGGTGCAAGTCATAACATGTGTGTCTTTGCTCAAACTTACAGTAAAATATAAATTGCTGTTTGGACTGTTTCAGATGTGGCCTTTTCAGATGGGTTTTCTCCTTGTTGAAAAAGGGGCAGTCCTCTAGATTTACAGCTAAGCCTGGAGCACAGGTCCCAAGGCACAAATGGCAGGCTTGCATCCTTCAAAACAGTTCAGCTGATTGCTGCTGTAAACAAACATAAAATTGAAATGTAGTTAATTAAGCTCCTAATTTTTTTCATTATCCTCTCACCATATACATTCTTTCTTCAATTTTCCATTATCTCACTACATTACCTCTTACATTTAATCTCCTTATTATGAAGAAAGCAGAAAACAGACCAGAAACCAACCTCCCCCTTCTCCTCCCCTTCACAGTCTCCTAATAAACAAAACAGGGAGAGTTATCTCTGACAATTAGAGCCTGTAATGTGATGAATGGTTAAAATATGTACATGACATCATTCTTTTAGCCTTCATTGATTAGTTTTTCTAGTTGATGCATTGCAAAATAAGCTGCTCAGCTTGGAGAATAAAACAACCAGTTAAATTTATTGATAAAAGACAAAATGCTGCCATTTTAAAACTCTCCCCTTTGTTACATGGTTTAAGTGAGGACATTAGTTGTCAGAAAAACAATCAGGATCTGCAGATAACTCTTTTATTAATGCGGCTATTTTAAAGCATAAATTGTGCATACATTGTCACTGATATCACATATTTTCCATATTCTGAGAGATCTTCCTTTGTCTTACTCATTGTTTTGCAGCTCCTTTCTCTTGTCCTTAAAATAAATTTTCCAAAGCAATCACACTCCATTCACATGGCTTTTATAAAACTTTTGAGTAATATTTTGCTAATGACATCAGGATGTTCCTGTTTGGACATTTATTAGAGTTGATTCTAAGCTTTTATGAACTAACCACTAATTATCATAATCTTTATTTCTTTTACCTCACTTCTCCCTTATAAAATCATAATGTGAAATCTTGGACTCACTGAACTCAGGGTTTCTTCTGAGGGGATTTGGATCTTGCTGAAGTCAGTCAAGATTTTCCATTCAGATGGTTGAAGCCACTGTCAATATAGATGAGCTTAGGCTAAGGAGATTCATTTGCTATTCATGGAATTATAGAATATTCTGAGTTAGAAAGGTCTCACAAGGATCATCAACTCCTTTTCAAATCTAGGGTTTCTTCCACTATATATGAGAAATCTAACTATGAGAAGAAATGCCTGGCAAGAGGTCTGTTTCTTTAGGATGGTCATGTTCACTGTGTAGGGTACTGAACATGAAGCTGTTTATTTTGAATTTACATTCCCAGAAATTACCTGTTTATGTTGCTGGCATAATCCTAATTTTCAAGTAGTTGTTTTATTTGTTTTATTTGTTTCAAAATGCCCTCCTCTAATTTCAACAGGGAGATCCACCACACGTATTTGAAAGACACCCAAGAGAGTTTTTGCAGCTGCTGTCAGTGTTGCAGCCTCTGCTGGGTGAATTTTGTTTCATCAGCATGGCTGGCCTCACAAGCACAGTAGTCACTTAAAAATTAAACACATCACATGATAGGAACCCTAAGAATCTCTCCTGTTGGACATTGATTGACTGTATGAAGTTGATGTCATTAGACAATAGATTTCAATGTTCTGGAAAATAGCATGTTCTGAAGTGGAGAAAAAATTTAATGTGTTTTAAGTCCTTAATGTTTTTACTTCCTTCTACTGAGTTCAATTTTTATCTTTGCATCTTTGATTCATAGAGGTAAATGTCAATGTACTGACAGATAATTTCTTTTGTTCTTACTACAGGTGGTTTACAAGCCCAACTACTGTAAATGCTTTTTATAGTGCATCTACCAACCAGATCAGTGAGTATCAACCTTCTGAGCCTCCTTACAAACTGCCTGTTTGAGAATGACTGCATCAAGCTTCAGATAACAGCTATACCTATTGTTTTGATTGTAACTGAAAATTAGAAGTTCAAACCTGGTAATTCAGCTGTGAGACTTAAGTGAGAGGATCATTCTGGAAAACCCAGAGCTCCCACAGATTGGAACTACTGTTGCTTCATGAGTTACCCTGAGCCAGAGGGAGTTGCAGTGATCATGTGTGTGTCTGTTTGTACTTGGTCCATTGTGAATGATAGCTTAAATCACTTTTACTAAGCTTAATGTTTCTATCTTCTGTTTTCTGTAGCAAAAACATGTGTACATATATCTCCATAAATACACAGTGATAGCAGTTCTGTCCTCTAGTATTGACAGATATGTTACAATAAAAGTGACTAGAGAAGACTGTGATATAGAACAGAAAACATAAGAAGGTGTATCCAGTGGATTTGTTCAATACCTTCAAGGACAAGGAGTGATATCTGTAGTTATCTGAAAATTCTTACCTGTTTGTGCAGTACTAGCTGTCTTATTCTAATTTTTGTTACTGGTTGTTTTTAGATAGCATATATTTTAGTGTGGAAACAAATAAGGTAAAAAAGCTGAGTTTTTCAAAGATGTGTTATGACTTTGGATGTTCATACCTGTTTGCTTTAATGGGGCTTTGAACTGAAATTTTCTAACAGGCTTTAAAATTCTATGCCAAGTTTTCTGTGTACAACAGTTTTACCTTTACCCTGGCAATTTCTCTTTGCTTTTATTAGCTTTTCATGTTAAATCAGCCTTCTTTTTTTATGCTGTTGGGGTCTAGAAGGTGGCTGCCACCACTTCTGTGGTCTCAGTCCCCAGAGACATGACCTCAAAAACTGTTAGGATTCCCCCTTTTTCTCCTGAATCTCTTTTGCTCGCAGACAGAAAGGCACAAAGTTAATGTATCACACTGAAGAAGGTATAACAGAGGACTGGAAATTTGAGTCTGCTGCTATTTGCTTCTACCAATTTCTGTAAACCATTTTACCTTCAAACCACTCACTTAAATTCTTTCATGTCTAAGTGATCTCATTTGTAAAGCATGTATAAAAATTAGGCAGTTCCTTTGATTAAAATTAGTGCTAGATTTAGATATCTCTCCCTTAATTAGCGGGCTGCCATCATTGGGCAGTCATATTTTTGTTGATCATCTGAGGGAGCGCTTGGCTGAGGTGGTCACAACTCTGAGGTACCCAAGAAGCATTACAGCTGCTCTTCCTCCAGCCACCACTGCTGCTAGAAAGGTTTGTGTGAGTGGAGAGGAAGCCTGCTCAGAGAAAAATGAGAGCCATCACTCTTATACCTTCTTTATTATCAGGTTCTTTATAATTTGAGCAGTGCTCAGCTGACCCAGCTTCTCTGCCATGGCACATTAGAGAAAACTGTGATGAGAGGCTGGAGCCACTGAAAATTTCACTCTCTGTGTCTAAAAGTCAGGAGGCAGAGCATTGTCAAATGTAACCCATCAGTCATGAGTGCAGAGGTAATTGTATTTTCTATTCTAACTGCTGACCTTCTCGTTCTGCTGGCAAGTGACCTGGAAGTTTGGACAGTGCCACTCACTCTCAGTCCTTTTAGGACTGTTTCAAAGAGGAAAAGTGGCTCTTTCTGAACAAAACCCTCTCATACTTGAGAGAGAGGTACAAATGTAATCATGCCCTATAAATCGTGTGCAACATGAGGGGAGATTCAGAAAAAGGCACAGTACTGTCTTCCACTGCTGGCTGGTGTGGTTTTATGGGGCATGAGGCCTTGTGGGAGAACGTGAGAGGAACATTCTCTGGTAGAAGTAGTTGATAAATATTTGACACATCACTACTGACTTCCCATTAATCCTGGTGGGGAAGAACTCCTACCTCACTGCTCTGTAGCTGTGTTTTCAGTAGTAATCGGTGCAAAGTTCTGGGGGCTGCTCACATGGCACAAGAGCTGTGGCATTTTAAAAGGCCTAGTTAAATAACAGAAAAAAAGTTCTAGAAAGAACTCAGAGTCATTTGAGAATAAGAATTAAGCTTGAACTCTAGCAAGGTAAATGTAAAATTGTGATACAGCAAGCCCAGAAATATTTCCATGACCAAATTTCTAGGAGCATAAGAACTAATAATAAACCTTTTTGTCAAATCCACTGAGAGAGGAAAGTCTCTAAAGCATAAGAAATAAGATAACTCTTTGTGTTAGAAGAGTTTGGGAAGTTCTAATCCTAGAGCTTTTTCTTGTGAGAGGTTAGTCCCAGAAATTGTTTTAAATTTAGTGTCAGAAGGGACTGTAGAGGAAATTCATAAAATGAACTGTGACAAATATAAGGACCAGATAATATTCCCCTGGGTATTTCAAAGGAACTTGGACAAACAATTTCCAAACAACCAACTTTGATGTATAGCCTATGACTTACAGTGGCCTCAGCACAAAAAGAATAGGTGTGGCAAGTGTCAAATCCTGTTTTTCAAAAGACAGTTCAGAGGCATCTTCAAAACAAGTCATTTTATCCTTTAAATGAGGGAATGTGGTTGTGACTACATGTTTGAATAGAGAGAGTGAATAACCATATACTATAACAGTGAAGAGTGAACCTGAGAATGTAGGATTTTTTTTGTTTTTCCTTTTAGAAAAAAAAATAATCATGCTTTCTTAATCTACTAGGGCTTTTTTTTTAATTCAGAAAGCAAGTAAGTATGCTTGATATGATGATATGTTTTTTTTTCCATAGTACACTTTTGATAAGGTTCTTTCCCAGTGCTAATAACTGAAAGTTGTCATAGGACAAGAAAGAAGGCCCTTTCATAAATTAATGACTGATTAGAGATAAGAAAAGGAGGCAGGAACCAATTATTTGTTGCCAAAAATGTTGGAGGGATGTGTTGCAAGGATCTGTGCTACTCACTGTATTAGAAGATGAGCTTAAGGGAGGGTGTTCTGTTCTGTACAAAAGAACAGAGGTATATAAATCCAGCCCAGGAGGACAATTTCCTCTGCTGCTGGCTGTTGGAAGGTAGGAATATGTGCTAGCAGAAGAATTACCTCACAGGGAGTTGACTGACACTCTTTCCCTTCACCTGTACGACTGAACACTCCTGTAAATGAGTGAATGGACCAGATACCCTCTTCATCTGCTTGAGTGCCCTTGCTCTTCAGTGGGAAAACTGGACTTTAGTGTCTTCAAGACCCATCTATTTTTGCTCTTTATAAGTGACTTTATTGAGAAGAATTTGAGAAATAAGAATTTAAAATGCATAATAGAATTTGATTATGGAAAGTAGTTTCTACACGAACTGGAAAATCTCCGGTTCCAAAATCTGATTCTAAAAATTAGGACCGTTAGTTTGGAAATGGAAATGTACTGTGTGATGGTATCAACAAAACCACAGTAACTCTAAACTTGATTAGTCACTGGAGGCTTCTTGAAAAAGTTTAGAGAAGAAGAAACATCAGTGCCTTGACCCATGGATTCTGAAAAGGAGCAATGGTCAGGTACCTGCACAAGGGAATGTCAATGTCCTGATGACTTCTGAGCTTTAGACAGCTGCTTTTACTTTCTATGCTCTGAGCACAGGGAGGTCTCTGACACTCCCAATGGAAGGATCACAAATTCTTCTCTCTCTGTACTCTGTATCACTCACATAAATATTGGAATATCCATGCAAGTCCATGTGATCTTCATATACAGGTAAGCTGTTAGTGTTTTTAACTTGACTACTAAGTTACTTGGAAGAAAAGGACTTGTTTCACTAAAAGAGAAAATTAATAGAGAATAGAAATTAGATGATTTTAAAAATTATTAGATTTGGAAGAATATAGCAAATCTTGCATATGCAGTAGATGTACCAAATTTTGCTGTCTTTTAGTGTAAACACTTTTTTGTTTGCTGTTGCTGTTCCATTTTCATTACGAAACTATTGATAGTTTGAATAACCAATGATTCTGTTAATATCTCCAAAGGAGAAATAAGTAGCTGCATCAAGGTACGATATGCCACAAAGAGCAGAATTTAAAAAATATGTATAATTTAACTTTATATTATACAAGTTTACTCCTGATGTATGTGAGTTCTATTTATTTATTTTCTTTTTTTTCCATAATTCAAAGTGTCTTAGATGAACCACTATGCATGTTTATAATAGTTGTTAATAATTTTTTAATCCTAGTTTGGATAATTTTTCAATTTTCTGTGCATTTGCTCGTCGATTTCCTCTTTAATTATAGGTACTTAACAAGGAAAACAGGTATATGTCATTGCCTTTAGAGTCTCAAAATGTATATAAGTACACTTCATATCATCTAAGCAGCATGAATACTATCTTTTTAATTATCATAATTGGAACACCAAAAACACATTCCTAAAGGATTAGTTTATTTTAATGCACTCTAGAGCAGTCAACAAATATGTGCTGAAAATAGACACAAGTGATGATCAAAGTGAGCTAGCATGCTTCTGTTCAAGAAAAGGTTTTATTTCATTATAGCACTAAAATATTGGCATTTGAATATGTTAAGGATAAAAGGGAACTGTTCATCAGACATTTGGTGTGTTTAGGGTTTTTTCAAAGTGTGAATATGTATGCCTCTAGAATATATAAAAATAGTCACCTTTGTGGGCTGTGAACAGTAATGAAAGGGAGATTTACAGTGAACTGAGGCAAATATAAGCAATGCACTCATGAGGTGTAAGCTTGAATAGATGTACTGGATAATTAATGTTGATATTATCTCTGTAAGTTTATATCCATGCTCCTTCTAAGTCATTTGCGCTGTTACTGCAGTTCTCTAGTGAAAGTCAAGAGGCCTCTTTAGAGAGCAGCCTCAATACATGTTACAGGAAGCAAATATAATTTACAACAAAATTTAAAAATTGCATTCATATTAGCATCCATAGAGAAAACCACAGATGAGAGCTCATATTGGCCAGTAAGTATCATCTTTACAGAAAGCATCATGCAGATATTGATGCTGCC